GAAACTTTCGCAACCGAAAGAGTTTTGAAACGTTCGACGGGAAACTTAACGCGTCCAGTAGGTAATTCAAGTTGCGAAAACAAGCGGAGAAATACCTCATTTTCAGGAATTAATTCACTTCAACGATGGGCCTTTCTGTTAAGCGTCTCTTTTCATTTTTCGCCACGTCAAAATTTTCGAATATACATAAAATTCCAATTATGGCTATGAACCCTATGAAATTCACGACGGTTTGTCGAAATACTCTTAACCAAGCGTCAACGAATATTTGCGAAACAATAATCCCGCGAAACAGCGAATTCTCAAGGTATTTCTCTCCCGTATTTCTCCCGTGATACAAACAGCTCGCGCGTGTCCTCCCTATAAAATATCTGAGCTCTCGTGATGGATGCTGTGCCGTCGGAAACGATATTAATTTCGATCGTTAAAAAATTCCGCTAAATTCTATGATTCGTCTTCGAGTTTACGATCTATTTTTTTTTTCTTTTTTTTTTTTCCGGCTTAGGTCGTTAATAAAACTTGGTTGGTTCCCTTTTTGAGTGTACTCTTTTTCCACTGTACGCTTTTTCTGTTTTCTTGTTCTTTTTTTTTTTTTTTTTAAACATGTTTCACGCTCCTATTATATTTCTCTCTCTTTCTCTCTTTTTTTCTTTTTTTTTTTTTGCTTTTTCTTTACAACAACAATCGCTTCACAATCGGCTAACACTCGCTACGACGTTTGCCAAGTGGACATCTAACTTTACATTTACAGTAGTAGTAGTAGTAATAATAATAATAATAATAATAATAATAAAAATAATAATAATAATAATCTCATAAATAATACACGTAGGCGTATAGTACTATTACGTACGGTCTGTCAGGCGCTCGCGAACTCCAACAGGACGAAAGACGATAAAATTCGAGTGGATCTAAACGGACAACGAGGTTCACTTCCCGCGCTCCTGACACCGGCTTCACATTAATTATAGTTATTATCATACGTAAACGTAATAATATCTAGGAAGTAGTACGGATCTTAATCTCTGTTTTAGGCCTCTACTCGACTACGCTACGGTTCGCTTCCTGTTTTGGTCGTGGACACATTCATCTCGTTCTCCCTGCTTCGTGAATCGCTAATATAAAGAGTGGGGGAATGGATGCCTGCCTTTTGTCATCGCGAAGAAAAGAAATCGTCGCGTCCGAAGTTTCTCGATTTCTGCTACATCCCCCTTCATCGTTGTCAGCAGTTTCTGTAACAGTTGTTTGGGAATCCCAACTGAAACGAGTATCGACCGGGTGAAACGTGCCCTAACTTTCGAGCGTGATTATTTCCTTCCTTTCCCACATGGTATCTCTCCCCCCCTCTTTCTCTCTCTCTCTCTCTCTCTCTCTCTCTCTCTCTCTGAATCTCTTCTCTCGTCGAAACAAGGGGAAACAAGTTGGAAAAATATTACACGTTCGAGTATATAATGGATCGTTGGATTGACTAGAGTTGGTTGAACGACAAAGTAAAACGAATCGCTAATTAAATAGAAAAAAAATGGAAGAAGAAGGTTGGAGGAAAGTGCCGATCTTCAGTAGACCAGCTTCCTGAAGTGGCAAGAATAAAGCTCCGCCGTTGGGTTCCGTTAACAACGAACGACGAATTGACGAAGAATTCCTTCGGGTTCCCCGACTTAATTACAATCGTTCGTAAAAGGTTAACGCAATAATCTCGATCGTCGTAATCCTCTTCTATCGCATGAGATCGTCCGACTAGTGCTGACTAGTTAGTTGTCGTCGACCCACTTGCCCTTCCCGTTCTGGCAGTAGTAGCAGTAGTAGTAGTAATAGTAGTAGTATGTAACAGTATATAGTAGTACGTAGTAGCTCGTTCGACGATGCGACACCGATCGAAATGACTTTCATGGAAGTGTCGAAGTGGAAGTTTCTCGTTTCCGTCGTTCTCGCGGTATAGAAAATCGGGTATATCGGTGACGACGTTTACGTCATGGGCGATCAACTCCAACGGCATTGATCACCCGTGGAGATGATAATAAGTCACGACGGTGTATGATCAGGTCAGGTGCGCAAACAGACGCGAGAAAACTTGAAACAGTTTTTCGTCTGTGCAGTGTTCGCGACGTTCCTTCCTCCTCGGGAGAGGGGGAAACCTTCCCCCCCTCCCCTTCGAGGAATAAGCGTGGTTTTCGCATGATTTTTGGAGGATATTCTGAAACTTTCGTTTCCCGAAGCGACACAAAGCGCCACGAAAGTTAATCTCCTTCCCCGGAAACTGAGAAAGTTGGCGCGTTAGATGAAAGACGTCGCTCGTATTAAAGTTAGAGTCTCTCCTTTTTCTTTTTCTTCTTCTTCT